GTGAGTGGTTGTAACTGACGAGCACTCTCGAAATTTATGGTGCCAATAAATCTTACAGCTATAACTATCTTCAAGTTCTCTCCGGGAACATTATGCTTCAAACTTCTGAAACATCGATATTATTGACACTCGTCGATGAACTTTCACCGATCGCTAATTGAACGCATTCGTCCCGCTCAGCCGTGGGGCTCATCCTCGAGCTATATCAAGTAGTCTTGTAGTCTAGGCACATAGCTATGCTGCCAAAAGCAAAGGAAGACATGATTAGGCACTACTGGCTATTGACCGTAATCAGCCAGTTGTACTCAGCCCGAGCTGGCACACTATCCAGGGCTTGAGAACCTGACCAGAAAAGGAGTGTAGGGGTCTAAGTAGTGTTTGTGCCTAGATTACTACAATCATCAGGTCAAATCCCAGGTTGGAAGTAAAAGGCAAGAGTCACCAGAATGAGGGGTTTATTGTGTACAGAACTCTGAGTTGTTGTCTCAGATGGCAGTGGCTACTGCCGAAGCCAGGACTGTAGGAGCGTAAGTTTAGTATGTCCACTCTCCCTGTTTGCTGCGTAATCAACAAGCCTATTAACATCGAGCGCCTCATCAAATTTTGTAAAGTCTCTCGTAAATTTCGCCACGATAATAGCATTTGTTGGGCCATCCACAAACACCCAATGGGTCTTTGCTATATCTGGAGATTCTGATGTCTTTTCAAATCATTCTAATGTTGCGACGACTTCTGCTGCTGTTGCTGCTACTGTTGCCACTGCTGCTACGGATACTGATGATCATTTTTATGCGAGGATGGCGTTGATTTGATGATAATGAGGATGATTATGATAAGGGGAAGAAGAAGAAGAAGAAGAAGAAGAAGAAGAAGAAGAAAGACGGTAATGACGATGAAAAGGGCTGATGGTGAAGAGAATGAGCAGAAGGTTGAGTCAGAGTCCGAGGCGAATTCGGAGGAAGGAGAAGAAAGAAGGTCATGACGAGGAGGAGGTTGTAGATGATGATGAGGAGGAGGAGGACGACGACGACGACGACGACGAGGAGGAGGAGGAGGATGAGGAGGAAGAGGACGACGACGACGAGGACGAGGAGGAGGAGGAGTCAGAGTCAGATTCAGAATCAGAGTCAGAGTCGGAAGAAGAGGAGGAGGAGAAAAATGAAGATTCTGACGACGATGAGTTTGGTAATGATGACGAGGATGATGACGAGGAGGTGAAGGAGGAGGCGACTGTTGGTGTTGATGGTTGTGCTGGTTGCGCCGGATGTTTGGGTTGACCGGGATTCTGTTCCTTCCCGGCCTCCAGTTGGCTATTGGGAGACAGTCTTTCCAATTTGACGTGCTGCTGGTTTTGGACTTCCGGGAATCTAAAACCATTAACAATGCGGTGAAAAAAATTAACTGCATATGCTTTGTTTTGTATTGAGAGATATTATGACACTTTGCGTAACGTAAATATACAGTTATATATCGCGCAGAATATAAAAAATGCTAAGGATGGTTAAACGAAAGGGTGCCTTAACAAAATACGTAAATACGATTAAAGATTAACGTAGTGGTGTTGGTGCAGTCTTTCGACGGGGATGTCAACTGCATTTTGTTGTTTGAGTAAATCACTATTTACGTAAGAGTAACCTCCTCGGAAGATTTTAGAACTATCAGCTGCGAATCTTTATCTACGTTGTCAGATACCGCATGGATGAATTAAAAAGCATTCAACGCAAATATCTGATTCGATTATCAAAGAACACCCGCAGACAAAAGCGATCAATGGAACGGTTAACTATGGCATGTAACACTTCTCTATCTTTATTGTCAATGCACACTCGATCGTTTGCAGCATGTACAAGATTGAACGCAGGCTTCCGTTCCATGTAAACTTACCATTTTAATATTCTTCCTCCAGCTACGAACTAAAATATGCGTGTGTATGTCTCATCTGCACATTCCCGTATATTAACGATTTAACTTGGTGCTCCTGTCATACATTATTGTGAATTTGTGGTAGTTCGTGC